GTAAATTCCCGACCTAGAATGTAGTCGCAGAATTCTGTTACGCCAAACATAAGTGACAGTGTCTCTCGCTAGAGTTGTGAATAGTTGCGCTCCGCCTGTGTTAACGCACGCGAGCTAAACCCGATCGGCCTGCGAGCGTTACCGATCGTGTAAAACGAGACCACGCCCATTCCATATGGAGACGCGTCGCCCTCAAGTTTTAGTTCCTTCGAAGGGTCGAAATGAACAAGAACCTTGGCTGCTTTGAGGCTTTGCTTGCCAGCACACATTCTTTTCCAGCTGCTGATACAAAAAAAAAAATAAGTGATAGACTGTTCGGCAGAAACCTCGCGTAAAACGTAATCATCACCAAAAATGAACGCAGTTAGATGACATTACGAGGGGTCTGCGGTGTGCCTGCTTGATAGCGTCGAGGTTTTTCTCTGTCTGATGAAACCCATCGCGATCAATGCGATGCCCGAGATAGTAAAGCTGCTGGGCTGCGCAGCTTGCGCTTATCGTGTCTCAACCGTTACGTCCCTCTCTCGAAAACGCTCCAAAACTTTTCTCAGTATTTCGCCTCTGTAGCTTGATTTTTCAGAAATGAGCCCGTCGTCAAGATAAGCTTGTGCACCCACAAGACCAGCTAGCACCTAATCCATTTTGCTTTGTAATATCCCGGCGACGAGCCTATTCCGAAAGGTAGTCGGTTGTAGCAAAAAAGCCGTTTTGGTGTGTTAAAGACGCAATTTTTTTTGCAAAACCATCCACTGCCACTTGATTGTATGCGTCCCGAAAATCCAGTGTGATGAAACGATCCCCATAGCGTAGTTGCGCAAATATATCTTCAATGATGAGCAAGCGGTATTGTTCAGTGGCCCATGCGAGGTTCACGGTGGCCTTGAGATCACCACAGATTCTTACTGCGCCGTCTTTTCGAGAACTACGACTTTAGGCGACGCCATTACAAGTGTGCCACCGGTGATAACACGTCCAAGGAAGCTAACCGATCAAGTTCAAGTGAAACGCGGTCGCGTAGCGCATATGAAATCGGCCTGGACTTACAGAACTTGGGTACAGCGCCTTCCTTCAGGTGCAGACTGACCACAGGTCCTATGATGAGCTCCAGTTCCTCAGAAAACACGTCGTGGAAGTCATTGAATATGCTGTTCACAATGAACCTGCCCGTTTGTTCTGTGGGCTCCGAGACTCCTGCAACGTGAACCACCGGAACACCAGCGATGTTCAGCAGCTGAATTAGGTCTCGACCACAGTGGCTTGGTCCCACACAGTCTAATACGGTCAGCGCGCACTCCACCATCATTCCCTTATCTGAAACACTGAGCGCAAGCTCCCCAAGCATTGGTAGTCGTCGTGTGTAGCAGGCAGGACAATTTCACACTAGACGGTCTCACCTTGGGCCATTGGTCGCTGAGCCTCTCGTACAGTTGACGTAGGACGACACGAACGGGCGACCCAGTATCAACTTCCATGGTAAGCTGCACACCACACCAAGATAACTTTTGACGAATTGGTGGCACCAGACAGCTCTTCCGTTCTGAGGCCAAGGTTGAGATGTGCGCTGCTCCGCATTCGTCGTCTGTCCAACTTTCCGTCCCCATGAGAATGTTTGTGCCCTCCTTGCTGTTCCTTGCTCGCGAGCACCACGGCTTCGCCATTTCCTTGCAAGGTGACCGCGTCCTCCACCGCGATAACAGCGCGAGCGTTAGACCAGGTGCAACCGGTCTCATTGTACTTTGCACTACCACACCTTGAGCATTCTTCATGTGCCCCATTCCGCCTCTCGTTTTGAGGCGTTTTCTGATGATACATGCTATTTTCAACACTGGTGTTAAGGCCGATCTGTTCATGTTTTTTACGCCACTATCTGCAGCTTCAGCTGAGAGGACCATTGCTTCAGCGTCTTCTAAAGGTAATTCCTGCTTCGCAAGTAGCTGCTTCTGCAGTGCACTTGACCGGACCCCACACACAATGCGATCTCGTAGCATGCGATTTAAAGCACTGCCGAAATTGCAGTTATCAACTATTCGGCAAATGACGACTACCAATTCATTAATGGGCTCACGCTCCGTTTGACACCGACTGAGAAACTTGTAACTTTCTGCGATTTTATGCCGCTTGGGATCGTGGTGCTCACTGAACACTGCTACGACTTCTTCATAAGTCAGCGCATTCGTAATGCGTAAGACCATCTTCTCTGCCAGTACTTGTGCCGTGTGCGTGCTTAAGGCTGCAACCAGCTATGCTCTTCTCTTAGTTAGGTCTTCAATGGCATTCGCTTCGAAGTATGATTTACTTTATTTAAGGTTTGGCGTTCACCTATTTTCTTCGAAGTGCGGAAGCTAGTGGTGAGCCATGATCGCCTCAACTTTTCGGCTTTTTGTAGTGTTAGGTTCAGGGTCGTCTTTCACTGCGTGGGTGGTGTCCATCTTCGTCGCCACTGTAGAATAGTCAAGGCTTGCGCATAGCTACGCCGGACCAGCAATACATCTACGTAGTCATCATAATGAAAAGAACGTTTATTGACAAGTGTAGGGCGTATTTATAGGCAAAAGCATGTAGCCAAGTAACGATGCACACGTGGTAGTAGTAATATTCCTATGTGGTGCAGGCGGCCAGCTGAGGAGTCATAGGTGCGCACACACAAAGAACACGTGAAGACATAACAATTACGATACACTAGGGGCATGTCTACCAAATGTGTCATCACTAGTGTACACGGGCAGAGTCACTAGTGATGTCAAGTCAATCATGTTTGTTCAAGCAGTGAACGCACCGCACGCACGCACGAGCCAGCACATACATACATACATACATACATACATACATACATACATACATACATGCATACATGCATACATGCATACATACATACATGCATACATACATACATACATACATACATACATACATACATACATACATACATACATACATACATACATACATACATACATACATCAGACTGACTAGGCCCACTGCAGGTCGACGGCCTCTCCAATGATCCGCCAATCAACCCGGTTTTGTGCTTTCTGCTGCCACGTTATAGCTGCGAACTTTTTAATCTCATAGGCTCACCTCACTTTCTGTCTCTCCTTCGTGCATTTGCCTTCTTAGGGAATCCAGTCAGTTACCCTTAATGATCACTGGTTATCCTGCCTGCATGCCATGCCCGGCCCATGTCCAATTCTTCTTGATTTAGTTTATGATATCCTTAACCCCGGTTTGTTCCCTGCCCCACTCTGCTCTCTTCGTGTCTCTAAAGGTTACACCTATCATTTTCTTTTCAGTCGCTCGCTGCGTCGTCCACAATTTAGGCTGAACCCTCTTTGTAAACCTCCAGGTTTCTGCTCCGTATGTAAGTACCGGCAAGACGCAGCTGTTATATACCTTCCTCTTGATGGTTAGTGGCAGATTACCATTCATGATTTGAGAATGCTTACCGAATGTGATCCACCCCATTTCCATTCTAGTTATTTCACTCTCATGGCTCGGCTCTTCGGTTACTACCTCTCCTAATTAGAAGTTCCTTTACAACTTCCAACGCCTCTCCGCGTATCACAATGTGCTGTTTTCTGTCGAGATTGTTGCACATAACTTTAGTTTTGTGAACATTAATTTTCAGACCTACTTTTCTGCTTTCCGTGTTCAGTTCAGTAATCATAAACTGTTATTCGTCCCCTGAGTACCTTATCAAGACAATGTCATGGGCGAATCGCAGGTTACTAAGGTACTATCTATTAACTCTCATTCCTAACTCTTTCCAGTCTAGGTTACTGGGTACTGAATAACTTCTGTAAACACGCGGTGAATAGCATTGGAGAAATCGTGTCTCCCTGCTTTACACCATTTTTTTATTGGGATTCTGTCATTTTTTACGGAAACTATGGTGGCTGTGGAGCCACTGTAGATTTCTTCCAGTATATTTATGTAGGGTTCGTCGATTCCCTGATTCCGTAGTCCGTGCATTATTGTTGGCGTCTCGACTGAGTCAAATGCCTTCTCGTCATCCATGAAAGCTATAGCTATAGGGGTTGGTTGTATTTCACGCATTTCTCTATAACCTGATTGATAGTATGAGCATATATGGTCTATTCTGGAGTAGCCTGTAAAAAATCCTGCTTGGTCCTTTAGTTGATTGAAGTGTAATGTTGTCTTAATTCTATTAACCATTATTTCTGTAAATAGTTTCTGGAGAAAAGTCAGTAAGCTGATCGGCCTGTAAATTTTCAAGTCTTTGATGTCTCCTTTCTTATGAATTAATATGATGTTGGCAGTCTTCCAAGATTCTAGTACCCGTTCTGTCAACAAACACTTCGTATATAAGGTGGCCAGTTTTTCTAACACAATTTTTCCTCCATGAATAAGCAGGTCCGTCGTTTCCTTATCCTTACCAGTGGGTTTGCCTCTTTGCATTCCTTCTAGGGCTTTTCTTACTTCCCCTGGCGTTACTGGTAGGATGTCGAGTTCATCTGGGGTATTATTCCTTCTTAGAATATCATCCTGGTTGTTTTGGTTTCTGTACAGCTCTCTGTGGAACTCCTCCACCACTCCAACTCTTATCCATAGTGGTTATGACATTGCCTCTCTTGTCTCTAAATGCTTACATCAAATTTTTGTCTATAGACGCAGAAGTTCGCCTTGACAGCTTTTAGGCGTCTGCCGATTTTTACAGTCTGCTCAATTCTCTCCATGTTATACCTTCTGATGTTGGCTACGTTACGCTTAATTATTAACTTTGAAAGCTTCACTTGCTGTGTTTTGTCGGTTATATTTCAGGCCTTCATGCTTTGTCGTCTCCTGAGACAGTTTGCCAGTGTCCTGTTTAGTGACAGTACCCCCGACTTCCACTGCACACTCTTTGGTGATACTAGGAAGATTATCGTTCATTGTGTCAACGCTAACGTCAGTTACCTCGTCTAGAGCCTCGAATATATTCTGAAGCGAAGCTATGATTTCCTGTACTTTGCCTCTCCCTGCTAGCTCATTGCCTTCTTGCG